AGGCATTACCTTTTCATTGATCAGCTGTAAGTCTTCCGACAAATGAATAAATAATTGTTGTGTCAAAAATTTAATTTATTTTCAAAGTTGTTTATGTTTAAATATCTTACGGCGAGTTTGCTTTTAGTTTATCTCTTTTCTAAATATCAGTAAAGACTTCTGAATGCTATGCTGTTAAAATCATATAAGTGTTATAAATCCTACATGAGTTATATATATATATATATATGTGTGTGTGTTTTTTTTAACATTTATATATTTTATTAAATGAGTTTTATTCATATTAGGAAAATGAAGTAAATACATTACTTTTCGTAAAACGATTTAATCGGCCTTCTTCATAACAATAAATTAATAAATAATATATTCAATTATAAGTATTATTATTAATTGCATTAGAGGTATTGTAATTCTTAACGTAAAAATCTTGATTGCAAAATTACAAGATGAAAGATGAATACAATCCCTCAAAAATTTGTATCACAGAAGATACTCAAATATGATTACAATTTATAAATAGCTTTAGCCCAGTGATAAGCTAATGTTGAATAAAATGGATGTTTTTTACAATCACATATTATTAATAATAAATCACAGTTATTATTTATACCTTTTATATTATCTTTATTCTAAAATATATGCATGGAATATAGAAACAATTATTATTAGTATAACAGAAAATAATTAAATATGATTACAATTTAATAATAGCGTTACTCTAATGATAAACTAATGCTGAATAAAATGGATCTTTATTATAATTAAATAATTATTGCATAAAACACATTCATCATTTTTATTTTTAATATTATCTTTATTCTAGAATATATGAATGGAAGATAAAACCAATTATTATTAGTATCACAGGAAATAATCAAATATGATTGTAATTTAATAATAGCTTTACCCTAGTGACAAAATGACGTTGTATAAAAAGGATATAAATTTTAATTGAACAATCATTATATAAATCACAAATATTAAAATGTGTTATAAATAAATAATTAGCCCTATTGAAGTTATTCTTAATATAACGGCTTAACAAAAAATATTGGTAGAATTGTAACCTACATCGGTTAAAATTCTGCCAATATTTTTCTACACTCTATAAATATTTTTAAATTAATAATAGCTGTTTTAATCATACTAAGTCAAATTACAAACATAACACTGAGTATTCTCTCTGAAGCTTACATACAAAAGAAAATAAAGTGTATACAATATTTTTTATTTTATTTTTATTTTATTTAAGCTTTATTGCACAAATTAAAATGTACAAATGGCGGACTTAATGCCATGGGGGCATTCTCTACCAGTCAACCGGAGAGTTGTAGCAGAGAGCTTAAAAAAAGGCGGTGCAACTATGAAACAGAGAGCCAAACAGTTTCAATGTGAAAAATTAAATTACAACTACCAACATCTATGCATAAATTTACATACACATACATAAATACATACGTAAATAAACACATATACATACATATATATATGTATATGTGTTATATATATTATAAATAAATATATATATATTACATAAACAATTTAACCACAAACCACAGAAAAATTTATTAGATGTTCGCGCAGTAGACGTTTGAAAGCAAGTTTATTTGGAGCAGCTTGTATGTGGGAAGGCAGTACATTCCAGAGTCGTATAGCTTGAAGCGAAAATGAATTGGAAATGAAACCTGTCCGGTGAGAAGGAAAAATGAGAGTTTGTTTGCTGTCTGAACGAAGATCACGGCTGTGAGAAGCACCTAGATACTGAAATTTACATTTCAAATATCCTGGTGCACACGGATCTTTAAGTATAGAATAGAGAGTGGAAAGGATCCTCAGATCCCTACGCTGGCGAATTGTTAGCCATTTCAACTTTTTCCTAAAGGCAGAGACATGATCATATTTACGAATGCAGAAAATAAAGCGAATGCAATTATTGAGTAAACGATCCAGTTTGTTTAGAAGTTCCTGCGTGATGTCAGCATAACACACATTAGCATAATCAATGATAGGAAAGATTATTGATTGGACTAGGAGGATTTTAGTGGAGATGGGAAGGAAATTTTTGAATTGATAAAAAGACCTAAGTATGCCAATTACTTTACTACAGACAGAGTCAATCTGCGTCCTCCAGTTCAGTGAGCTGTCAATGCAAATACCCAGATCGACAACGTGAGGGGCAAACTTTATTAGATTGCCATTAAAATTAAGGGGAGTGACAGAGCTCATATCCACCCTCGCTAAAAATCGCGTACTACCCACTATGATACCCTGGCACTTGTTAGGGTTGACCCGAATTCCAAATGTATTAGACCAGTCAGAGATCTTTTGCAGATCCTTATTTATCGAGCATATAGTTTCGTTCAGGTTATTTGTCTCCGCATGTGCGTAAATTTGCAGGTCATCTGCATACAAATGATGACCGCTGTCAAGAATAAAGGAAATTGAATTAATGAAAATCGAAAAGAGGAGGGAAGACAAAATGCCGCCTTGAGGAACGCCTGCAGATAAGTTGCACCAATCAGACAATCCATATTTAGAATGTACCGCCTGCTGACGTTCCCGAAGATAAGACGAAAACCAATCTAGTTTAGGAGATGAGACTCGCAAATGTGAAAGTAATGCCAGGAGAATATCATGATCAACAGCATTAAAAGCGTTGGAGAAATCAATGAGAACTAAAACTGTTAAACGTGACATCTCCATGCCAAGTCCTCGGTCACTTTTAACAAAGCTGTAGTAGTACTATGACCGCGTCTAAAACCTGATTGATATTGATCCAGGATTCGGTTACTAGCGATATAAGCAGATAGTTGATGATGTACGGTGGCTTCCAAAATTTTTGACAAAAATGGCAGGATAGAAATTGGCCTCAGGTGATCAAGTGTAGTTGGATTATTCACCTTGAGCAGTGGCACAACATATACCTTGCACCATGCTGTCGGAAAAACCCCAGACGAGAGAGAGTCATTTATTATATACGTGATAATAGGAAGAACGCTATATAAGATTGAAATAATCATGTGCCTGCTTACACCATCACAACCGATCGCCTTCGATTTTATGGACATAATGATTTTGCGAATCTCAGAATCCGTTACCAGAGAAAAAGAAAAAGAATTAGTGGGTTGATTGCACAGAGAAGGAATAAGATTAACTGCTTTTGAGATGTCCGTGAGAAGAGAAGAAGAGTTGGCTGAAAAATGTTGATTAATACAATTGAGAGAATAGAAATGAGGGAGAGAATTACTTCTGGACTTAATTAAACCAAGAGATCTAAGGAGTTTCCAAGCATCAGCTGGAGACGACTGAATGATGTTATCATGGAAATAACGGCGTTTGGCAGCTCTCACCATCTGGTTACAGCGGTTTCGCACAGATTTGAAATAGACCGAATTATCGTCCGTTCTATGTCTCTTAAACTTGTGCAAAGCTCTGTCGCGTCTCCTCATCGCCATACGCACTAAAGGAGTAATCCATGGGGCTGGCGGTTTTTTAATCTTAACTACACGTATTGGTGCATGCCTATCATAAAAATCCAATAAAATATTATTGAAGGTTTTCACTTTTTCCCCAGTGTCACATGCAGAAAGAACATCAGACCAGTCGAGAGCAGATGCATCCTGTACCAATTTATGCAAATCAAGACGCGCGAAGTTTCTCATTTTTATCAATTCAGGTGTACGTTTGGGAGGTTTTATTTTATAAGAAAGATAAATCAGGTCATGTCGGGAGAAGCCCGGAGCTGGAAACTGGCCATGGTGGGAGACATGAGCTGGAGAGGAAACAAGGATATGATCGATCCATGAGTCATTTGTATCAATATTATGATGTGTGGCTTTCAGCTCCAGAGAAGAGAAATTGTAGGACTCGACAACTGATCGAAAAGAACGAGAGGAAAGACTGTCTTTCAAAAGATCAGTGTTAAAATCACCCATGATGATGTGATGTGTGTAGTCAGCTGCAAGTGCATCGAACACGGAAATAAGAGAAGAAATATAATCGACAGCAGGTGGGCAATATACGACTCCAACAACTACCTTACAGCCAGATATTGAAATTTCAAGAAAGAGAAATTCGATACCATTATCAAACTGATCCTGAGGTAGAAAGAATTTGATATTGAATACCAGTGCGCAAATAAATGGCAATGCCACCACCCCGTTTTGTCAGCCTGTCATTACGCAAGAGTTCGTATCCAGGCAAGGCGTACGTATAAGAGTTGTGACCTGGCTTAAACCAGCTTTCAGATACAAGTACAGCGTGGATAGTATTAGAAGAAAAGTCATTAAGCAGCTCCGTATGATGGCTGGGGATGCTTGGAGCATTAATGTGGCAAACGTTAAAATTTCTGGTCACAGTACTAAACACATTATTGAGCTTATCGCCCAACGTATCGACGTCATCCTGCAGATTATCTGAAGAGTGAAATGATGAATCCGTACTATCGCATGACCGAACATCGTCCAATTCTTCTGAATACGACATAAATAATATACCAAAGAATATAAATAATAAATATATATACTATACGCTAATTACTTAATCTATTTAAAATATTAAAATGTGCCCAACCCGCCGGTCAACATTTACATTAGATATATATTGTAAATAATTTTAAGCAAAATTTATAACTATACAAAGAAATTAAGCACAGGCGTAGTAGAAAAAAGAAATTGAACTACTTACATAGTCATACAGAGTAAAAAAGACATACGTATGAAAACAATAAAAAGAAAAAAAAAACATTATGGCTGTACGAGTTAGATCCCTTTGCATCTGTAAAAGTACAATTGACAGTGCGCCACTGACAGTGACAACAGAATACTACTCTAAGTTAAAATGATTATCGAAGATAAAAACAAAACGAGTTAATAAGTGTTATTGTGAGGTTAAATAATAAAAAATTGTTTTAGTTTTACCTACGCCTGCGTACAATCGCACTGAATGATTATTCGGCTTAATTCAGTGGTACAACAATTAAACAACATCGTCCGATGACATCACTTTTTCACCAAACGCTTCGTTCTGGCACTGGATGACTTGATGGCTATCGATTCTGCAGCTGGTTTAGAGCCCGATGCGTGCCGTACCTCTGCCGGTGTTATTGGGTTTAGTTCTATGACCTTGGCGAATTCCTGCCCATCCCTAACACGGCATAGTTTGCCGTTTGGGAGTTTGACAATGATATTGCCGTCTTTTGTCCACACACTACGGATACCAAAATGATTACGTGCCGCAACAAACACGTCCTGGTGGCGACGGGTTAAGAACTCAGATAGAACAATGGATGAGCCTTTTAACTTAGTCTTGTTTGTCCAAACATCTGATTTCGTGGAAAGCTCTGCAAAACGCATTAGAATAGGTCGTGGTCGGTCTTGTGTATTTGCACCAAGTCTATGACAGACTGTAAAACTAGACCTGGAGATGTTATTAAGACCTAGCTTATTATTGCACACATCAGACACAGCTGCCAGCAAATCTTCACCTTCCTTCTCCTCAACCCCACCAACAAGAAGTGCCTTATTGCGGTGTCTAGTTTCTATGATGTCAACATTACGAACCAGACTATCGATCTGCTGCCGAAGCAATGCCAATATACCACCCACCAAGCTCTTGAAGTGACAATAGTCTGTGCTCAGTGCCTTCATGTCAACAGCTGATGAGGATGATGCACAAGAAACTTTCAGATGGGCCTCAAAGTCAGTCGTTCTCTGCATGAGTGTCTCCTCAATAGCCCTTTGAGTCTCAAGAACTGTTGCAATGTTACTCATTATTGATAGGAAGTATAGATAGTACCAGCGCCAGTCAAGTGAAGTGAAGTATTGTGCTCTTGAGTGAAGTCAAACGTAGTAACAGTCGACACTGACGGGCTAGTGAACTCATGCTCCTTCTACAGGCATATAAGATTGATGCCCACACAGTATGTTATAAAACAAACTATTGTAAAACATGTGCACTTGAAATAATAAGATTATTTATATTTTAGAATATTTTTTAGAAGAAGAGGTCAAAGTCAAAGTCAAAGTCAAAATAATCTTTATTCAAATAGACTTCTTAAAAGTACTTTTGAATCGTCCAACATTTTTTCGTTCCACTCGTTCAGGACGTCTTTTGGCTGATAAGAAGAACGAGCAAGAAACTCACCAGCTCTACTAAGAGTAATGACATTTACAAAAACCATGACATTACCAGATCAATACATTATAAACAGAGATAAAAAAAAACTATGGTCTTATAATAATAACAAAATCATTTAATAATAATGGAAACAAGATAATGAGTTTAGAAGTAATCACCTATCCAGTTGCTGGATCATCTCGAGTCCAAGCGTTCTTATCTGTTATATAATCGGATACCTTATAATAAGCTTTTTTAATAAGTATTTTTTTAATAGTAGATTTAAACTGCATGATATCTAATTGTTGTATTTTGCTTGGGACCTTATTGTAGAAGCGCACACAAAGACCCTTGAATGAGTTATTAACTTTTTGCAGTCTAGTGACAGGCACCGTTAATTTATTTTTATTTCTTGTATTAAAATTGTGTAATTGAAAAGAATTGCTCTTTTCTGAAGCACAAAAATTGTTTGTATGTCGGCAGCATTTCCCCACAATAGGATACCGTACGACATAACACTATGAAAGTAACTGAAGTATACTAATCTGGCAGTATCTATGTCAGTTAACCTACGTATCTTCATTACGGCATATGCTGCAGAGCTAAGTCTACTCGACAATCTATCAACATGTGGGCCCCACTGTAGTTTAGAATCTAATGTTATTCCTAAAAATACTGTGGTATCCACACGGCCCATGTTCTTATCTTTTATATTAACATTTATATCTACTTTTTTAACATTAGGTAGTACAAATTTTAAGCATTTTGTTTTTCCTTCATTAAGGAAAAGATTATTTACATTAAACCAATGTACTACTTTAGGGATAGAATTGTTCACATCGTCATTTAGAGGTAACCCTCTTTTAATTTTAAACAAGAGTGAAGTGTCATCCACAAACAAAACTATTTCGTGATCATCCCTGACTAAATAAGGCAAGTCATTTATGTAAATCAAAAACAAGAAAGGACCATGTATTGAGCCCTGCGGAACGCCCATATTAATTTTCGATCCAGGCGATCTTTTGCCATTGATATCAACCGTCTGTACTCTGTCAGTCAAGTATGAGACAATAAAATCCAATGAGTTATCTCTAAATCCATAAAAATGCAGTTTCCTGATCAATGTTTCATGAAAAACACAATCAAATGCCTTAGATAGGTCACAGAAAACACCTAACGCATCATGTGAATCCTCCCAGGTATTAAAAATTTCTTGTATTAACTCGACACCGGCTTCGGTTGTCGAGCGACCCCTTGTAAAACCAAATTGTTGTCGATTCATAAGCTTATTCTTGTAAAAGTACGTTTGTATTTGATCCAGCATGAATTTTTCAAAAATCTTACTAAACGTAGGTAGCACGGATATAGGTCTAAAGTTAGTAGGGTCAGATGTGCTACCCAATTTATGTAAAGGAATAATTTTACTAAATTTCATGAGCTCAGGAAAAATACCACAATCAGTACATTAATTAAATATATAAGCTAAGATTGGAGCTATTGTCTCAATTACCGATTTAGAAACTTCAATGGAATTACCCCATAAGTCAGCAGTTTTCGTTTTCTTTAGCCGATTAAAAGATTTTATTATATCTTTAAAATCAATGGATTGAAACTTAAATTGGCTATTAGAATTATTTAAACTTGCCTTTAAAATAGATTCAGCAACAGTGGAAGAGGAATTCAAAGATTGTGTAATTAAGAATGGAATTTCAGTAAATAAATTTTCAAATACTGTAGCAACTTCAAGATCTGATGTTACCTTTTTATTATCAACGTTTAAATTAAAATTTATATTCCGAGATTTTTCTCTTCCAGTTTCACTATTTATGATATTCCACGTCATTTTAACTTTGTTTTTACTATTTTCAATTTTTGCATTTAAATAATTACATTTGGCTAAACGACACACTTTTTTAAATAATTTAGAGTAATTTCGTACATATTCTTTGAAATCCTCACTTGTGTTATAATTACGTTCATCATATAGTTCATAGAGCCTTTTTCTGCTTTTGTAGATTCCTGGTGTAGCCCACACACTAAAAGTTATAGGATTACTAATACTCTGTACATTACGAATTCTTCTGTACGAATTCTGTACAATAAACATCAAAGAAATCTTTGTACAAATCATTGGGATTACTATTATGTTTCAAATGATACAATTTACTATCTCATTGATTTTTAATACGTTCCAAGCGACTCATACTTTTTGACACAACTGTAATGTCTCTCTTAGCCACAAACGTATATTTATGCGGAAAGCTAACTAGTTGTCCAAAATGATCTGACGGTAGTTGTTTAATTATCTGTTTTGAAACTGGTACCAGATCTGTAAAAATGTTGTCAATATATGTGGATGAAGTAGCAGTTACTCTAGTAGGCTCCTTAAACATGTGCACAAGATTATAGGACATAAATAGATTTACAAGTCTTGTACATGAATTGGAGTTTCCTAATAAATCAACGTTAAAATCACTCCCAATCACTAATCGTTTGCCTTTTCTATATACCTTTTTTAATGCTTCATCCATAACAGTTTCAAAAAGATCATAATTAGAAACTAAACTTGAAGGAGGTTTATATACGCTCAGTACAATCAGCTGGTCCAGCTCTATACAGGCAATCTCTATTATTTCCTCAACCGATAGGCTCACTATATCTCTACGTTCTTTAAATTTAAACTTTTTATTTAATAAAATTAGTGCGCCACCTCGCATTGCGTTTTTCCTAATGAACGCGCTACCAACCAGGTGATTATTGAAGTTAAAAATGCAATTATAACTTGTTAACCAATGTTCCGTAATACAAAAAATATAAATATTGTTACAGTTCATGAATAATTCTACTTCTAACTCTTTACTCAACATTTCTTGAACATTTCTTGAACATTTTGGTGCACTAGGTTGATGACTGATAAATTCTTGGTTCCATTAATACTTTGACTATTCAATAGCAAGCAAGAGGAATCCTCTGTTGTCTTAGTATTTAAAGACGAATTTGTCGCAATGTCAGTAGGATTATTACTGACAGTCATGTCAATAGAAGAGTGCTCAATAGGAGCACTCTGGTTAGCCAAATTTTTGGCTGTTATAGAAAAAAAATATGATAGCGAAATAGCTATTTGTCTCTTAGGTTTTTACTTATTGACACCTACCCACAATTTTTAATTTCAATGATTAAATCGGTATCTTTTATAACATTAAAATAATAAAATAATGATCAAGTAATTAAATTATATTAATCCTTAGCCATTCTAACGTAACAATTTCTGTTATAAAATAAATGGAAATAATGGATCAAATAAACAAAGCCGAGGTTTCGTGGGAGCAAGAATCGGAGTCCGGGTAGCATACGCAGTCGAAAGATTAACAATATAATATCACAATTAGATGCGTTGACAATGGGCGAAATGCAAATTGCAACTAAAAACAAACAAACAAAAAAGTGTTCATTCAAGTACGCATCCTTGCACACGGCACTAAGGGACAGTGGATTGTTATTGGTGGTAGTGAGTATGTGGGCGGGGCGTAGTAAACACTGCATGTTCATGCAAATATCTATGCGAAGTGAAAGAGCGCTAATGTCCGCCACTGTACCTTCCAATACTCTCTGACATCGCAACCAGTTGCTCTTTTATTTGTAGGCCATCCATTATAGTAATACTGGCATACTTTATTTAATACGTCATCTTTTTCTGTTTCATTTTTAATATTCTCCAAAATTTGGGGCGATGCTTCAACATTTTATAAAAGCATATTGACTTGCACTGTTACGTCATCATGTACCTCTCGGTGTACGTGCTTAGCTGGCTCCACTGCAGCTCGCAATAACGTATCCGCTATAAACAACAACCTTCTCCGCTTGTATTGTAACTTTACACAATAACTCTGTAGCCTTAATATCAAGCGCTGGAGCCGCGCTGGTTTCACTCAGTGGCTTCTTGAAAATTGCTTCCAGTGGCTTATGATTACTCTCCACCGTTACTTCATGATGCCCATAAATATATTGGTGAAAACGAGTACAGCCGAACACAACAGCGAGTAATTCCTTTTCTATTTGCGCCCAGCGTATTTCCGTTGGAGTCATTGTACGAGCAGCATAAGCCACAGGACGCCCGCCCTGCATGAGACACGCCCCCAGGCCACGAGAGCTCGCGTCGACGGACACTGTCACCGGTTCATCTGGAGAGTAATACCTCAACACTGGTGCACTACTTATCAACCTCTTTAAACTCTTAAAAGAGTTTTCATGTACCAGCTGCCAATCAAATTCGACTCTTTTATTTAATAGTTCTCTAAGTGGTGCAGCTATTTCTGAGTATCTGGGAATAAATCGCGCTAGATAGTTTGTTACACCCAGGAACCTCTCCAACTCCTTCTTGTCACTAGGTGTAAGCATTTTCATGATTGCCCTGACACGGTTTTCATCAGGTTTCATCCCCTGACTGCTAAACTTGTGCCCTAAAAATGTCATCTCTTCAACTCCAAATAAACATTTTTCTTTATTTTTTAGTCCATTTTCTGCTGCTCTTCGTAGAACTTCCTGCAGCCTGTCATCGTGCTCCTGTTTAGTGCTTCCCGAAACTAGTAAATCATCGATATAAACCTCTACCCCCTCCATTTTAAAGATTTTATACACGGCGTTATGAAAAATT